GATGTAGCATTGACAACTAACTGAAATAAAATACGTTGAAACTGAAGTAATAAAACTAATAGCTAACAATAACATGCTGTGGAAAGCAGCTAAACACATTTGATGAGAAATTAGTTCATATTGAGACCGCTGATTATTTAGTACTCTTAGTATTTAGAGCAAATCTGAGCCCTGTTTCAGACATTGTAGAAATCTCTTCTGAAACACACATTTGATATTACCAGGGTCTTTCTCAGAACCTTTTCTTCATTATCTGTTCTGCATTTGATCTCATTGCTGTGTAGGACAAGCTATTGAGATCTCATGTGTGATACGTCTCATATACTCTCTGTGTGTGTGTGTGTGTGTGTGTGTGTGTGTGTGTGTGTGTGTGTGTGTGTGTGTGTGTGTGTGTGTGTGTGTGTGAAGGGTTAACGTGTCCTGGCTTGCTGTGGTGAGCCCCAGCTGAGGGATTGTTTGGATTGTGATGGGGTTTGTTTTAGTTGTGTGAGGATATGGGGGCAGGGTGTGTGTGTGCCGAGTGACAGCTGCTGGTTTAGGTTCCCGGGAACTTTAGGACAATGAGACACTGTGAGACTTCGGCAAACAGCTGCCAAACACGTCAACACGACTAAATCACTTTACAAACTCTCACAAAACTAAATCTGCTCATAGCACTTCACTTTTCTCAGCATGGTTTGTTTTGCTTCCTCGATTCTTTCCGCAGTGGATCCTGCTGGAGTCTCAATAGCGAATCAACAGGTTGAAATGAAGTTTTTTAGTAAAACAAAATCTCCTTATGTTTTTAGTAAATTAATTATATTCAGATTTAAAAGCATTATGGTCTATCACATAGTGATATAAATTTGTCTTAACATTAAAACATCCACAAAAATAAACACATAAAATATGACCAAATAAAAAGAAACTTTGTACTCAAACTTAAAAAACTTTGGGAACAAAAATGTAGAAACTTGGTACTACAACTTAGAAAAAACAGAACTAACTTAGAAAGCATAGTACTAAAACTCAGAAAACTTAGTCCAAAAACTAAGAAAACTTGGGGGAAAAAACTTAGAAAGCGTAGTACTAAAACTCAGAAAACTTAGTCCAAAAACTTAGAAAAAAAAACATATAAAACTTAGTAGTAAAACTTGGGGAAAAAACTTAGAAACTTAGTACTACAAGTTTTGTACTTTTCTTAGTTTTAAAAAAGTTATTGCACTATGGAAACCCTATTGGCAAAGCGCATCTCAGGAACTGCACTCCAGTGGTTTGAGTCTTATCTCTCAGATAGGTCCTTCAAGGTAACTTGGAGAGGTGAGGTGTCCAAGTCACAACAACTACTGGGGTGCCTCAGGGCTCAGTACTTGGACCACTTCTCTTCTCTGTCTACATGGCATCACTAGGTTCTGTCATTCAGAAACATGGCTTTTCATATCACTGCTATGCTGATGACACTCAACTCTACCTCTCATTCCATCCTGATGATAGCTGGATGCCGGACCATCAGCTTTAACTCAACCTTGCCAAGACAGAACTGCTTGTGGTTTCAACAAACCCATCGTTTCATCACAATTTCACCATCCAGTTAGGCTCATCAACCATAACTCCTTTCAAAAACATCCAGAAATCTTGGAGTTGTGATTGATGATCAGCTGACTTTCTCAGACCACATTGCTAAAACTGCCCGGTCCTGCAGATTTGCTTTATACAACATTAGGAAGATCAGACCCTTTCTTTCAGAACATGCAACACAACTCCTTGTTCAAGCTCTTGTTCTATCCAGGCTGGACTATTGCAATGCTCTCTTGGCAGGTCTTCCAGCCACTTCTATCAAACCTCTACAATTAATCTAGAACGTGGCAGAAAGATAAATTTTTAACGAGCCAAAAAGAATGCATGTCAGTTTGCACTGGCTACCAGTAGCTGCTCGCATTAAATTCAAGACATTAATGTTTGCCTACAAAACCAGCACTGGCTCTGCACCCATTTACCTAAATCCATTACTTCAGAGTTATGTGCCTCTAGAAGCGTGCGTTCTGCAAGTGAACATCGCTTTATTGTTCATCCCAAAGAGGCACAAAATCACTTTCACAGACTTTTAAATTAAATGTTCCCTCCTGGTGGAATGACCTGCCCAAATCAATC